GGTATACCACATCCACTGCATCCCCTCTATCTAGCCATCTCAAAACCTTGTCATAGAATTCCACAAGGTTTGTCTGGCAGGACCTGTTTTTGCGGAAGCCGTTTTGTGTGGCTGTCAGCCTCCCTTCCCTATCTAGTATCACTAGATCTCTTTCTATTATGAGCCTTTCCATTGTTTTTCCTACAATGGATGTAAGGCTAACAGGTCTGTAATTCCCCATGTCCCTTCTACTACCCTTTCTGAAAATTGAGACCACTGATGCCACCCTCCAGTCCTCTGGAACTTCATCCGTTCTCCACGAGGCCTCAAAGATGGAGGCCAGTGGGCGTGAGAGAACCCCTGCCAACTCTCTTAAGTACTCTCGGGTGTAACCCATCAGGGCCTGGCGCCTTTGTAATGTCCAATGCCTGAGGAGCCCCTTGACTTCAAGGGGGGGGGGTGACTCTAATCTGTGCCCCTAAGTCCCCAGCCTCATCTAATCTCCTATGTGGATATCCCTCATCCTGCTTTGGGGAGAACACAGAGGCAAAATAGTAATTTAGCATCTGTGCCTGTTCCCTCATATCAGTCACTGGATCTCCTTCCTCCTTATTTAGTGGTCCCACCACTTGTCTCCCCTTCCTCTTCCTATTTACATGCTGAAAGAAGCCCTTTTTGTTGCTCTTGATATTCTTGGCAAGTCTCAGCTCACAATCAGCCTTAGCCTTGCGAAGAATCCTGCAACGGGCCTCCTCCTCCTGGTATACCCTTTTGTCTATTTGCCGCAGTACCCATTTCCTACGAAGGTTCCTCTTTCGTCTAATCCCTCTAACCACCTCCTTTCATATCCATGGCGGCACTCTCCTCCGCCTCCCCACCTTACTGACTAGAGGTATCGTCAAGGCTTGTGCCTCCAAAACTTCCCTTTTGAGTGCTATCCACCCCTCCTCAACTCGCTTACTTTCCAGTAACCTATCTCAGGAGACTTTCCCCAGTCTGGCCTTCAGTTGGCCAAAGTTGGCCCTCTTGAAGTCCCAGCTTCTAGTGCTCGACCTGCTGCACGTCCCCAGTCCCCTGATCTCAAAGCATAGGATGGAGTGATCACTCGCATCCAGAGCTCCCCTAATCTGTACTTCATCTATCAGCTCCTCCCTACTGGTCAAGACCAAGTCAAGGATGTTTCCCCCCCTCGTCGCCTCTCGGACCCTCTGTGTGAAAAACCCTCCCTCTATAGCTTCTAGGAAGCGACGTGACCTGGCTGTCACCACCGAGTGAGTCTCCCAACTAATATCCGGGAGATTGAAATCTTCCATAATTACTGTGTCTCTCCCCCGAGATATCCTTAGAATCTGGCCTGTCAGGACATCATCTAGGGTCTCAAGTTGACCTGGAGGGTGATAATATACCCCCACTGTCAGGTCTCTTTCCCTGTCAAAACCCCTAAGTTTCACTCAGACTGCCTCTACCAAATCCCCATGTCACTGCATCCTATCCCTTCCCTGATGTATAACGTCACGCCCCCACCCCTCTTTCCTTTCCTGTCCTTTCTAAAAATGTGATACCCTTCTATGTTCACACCCCAGACTTGCCTTTCATCCCACCAAGTTTCTGTGATTCCCACCAGGTCATACCCTCCTATTCCCAGGGGAGCTTCAAGCTCTTCCTGCTTATTACCCATGCTCCTAGCATTGGTGTACATGCACCTCAACTCCTTCCCACCGCTTCCTTTCCTTGGAGTTCCCAGCCTCCTCCTTCCTCCCATCCTCCCTGATACCTGGCCCCTCTCTGTAGGAGTCCTGTCAGTCCCTGCAGTATCTCTAAAACCCTGCTCCCAGAGCCCTGATCCTCTCCCCACACTTGTCCAGTGCAGACACGTTTCTGGGGAGGCCTGAACCCCCCCCCCCGGCTCAGTTTAAAGTCTTCTGGACGAAGCTCACTAGAGCATCTCCAAAGGACGCTTTCCCCCATCCTTGTGAGGTGCAACCTGTCCCTTGCCAGAAGTCCATTGGCAAGAAACCGAGTGCCGTGGTCGAGGAACCAGAAGCGTTCCTTCTGGCACCACACCCTAAGTCAGTCGTTCACCTCGGAGGCCCTCCTGTCCCTTCCTGGCCCAAATCCCAGGACCGGTAAGATTGACGAGAAGGCCACTTGGGCCTTTAGCTCCCTGAGTTTCTTCTCCAAGCCTCAAAAGTCCCTGGTGATCCCGACCACCCTCTGCCTGGCCATGTTGTTTATGCCCACATGGATCACCAGGAGCGGCTGGTGACCCCTGGAGCGAACAAGATGCTCCTCTCTGTCCTTCACATGCCGGATGCGTGTGCCCGGCAGGCAGCAAACCTCCCTTGTCTCCAGGTTGGGGTGGCACACTGCTGGCTCAGTGCTCCTCAGCAGTGAGTCCCCAACAACAATCACCCGCCACCGGGTCTTCCTGGTGGTGGTGGGCGGCCGTGCCCTGGCCCTTGCCTCTCCTGCAGCGGCCCCCTTGCCGCTTGTCGTCCCAGGCTGGGGGTCCTGCTGGTCCCCCAAGGCCTCATCAGCCCCAGCCTCCCCAAGTGGAGAGAACCTGTTTCCCAGCTCCAGTTTGGTGCCAGGAGAAGGAGGAGGCTGTGCTGGCCTCCTCCTCCTGTGGGTGACATACCTCCATGTCTCCGCAGCTGCTCCTCCCGTGGCCTCTCCCTCAACCCTCTGTCCAGAGGGGGACTGCTCCCGGGGGGCCTGGAGAGCTCTCTCAGCCCTCAGGCACCTCATCTCCTCCTGTAGCAGGGTCACCAGCTTGCACCGAGGGCAAGTGTAAGCCAGACTCTCCTGGGGGAGAAGGGCGAACATGTCGCAGCTGTCGCAGCGGACAGCAACACCCGTGCCTCCCGCCAAGGCCATCTCCTGGTCTGCCATCGGTATCCCTTCCAAGACCTTACCTTGGTCCCCTGCCTTGTCTGTCCTGCAGTTCCTCTCACTTGCCCAGTTCTCCCAGACAAAAACCCACTCGTGCACACACACACAAGGATAAAATAAACTTAAATTTATAAAATAAACTTAAATTTAAATTGGAGGAAAAACAAAGCACAGCACAGCACCAAAAACCAAAAGCAAAACCAAAAGCAAAACCAAAAGCAAAACCAAAGGAGGGAGAGAGGGAAGAAAGGCAAAAAAAAAAAAAAAAAAACCAACCTCTGTGTCCCAGGGAAGGGAGTCCCCGGACAGCCCGGGCCACAGCTAAGGGACGCAGGCAAGGGATGACAAAAGGGCTTGCAGTGGCTGAGCACGGCCTTATCAGCCCCTCAGGCCGGTGGCCCCGCCTGTCTGCTCCCTCCTGGCCCCTCCCGCCTCTCTGGCCCCGCCCCCTTCCTCTCAGCTGCTCCTGGCCCTCTGCTCCCCTGCCCAGCTCCTACCTTGCCTTCGCCAGTCCCCTGGCCACTCAGCACTCTCTCTCAGCCTGTGCCTCTGCTGCTCTGCCAAGAGGCCAGAGTCAAAAGGGAAGGTAATTTAAAAGCAGTAAGGGAAGGTAATTTATACTTTCTCTCTGGGATAGGCTCACTCAGTAATGCCTCTCTCACTGTATTTCTATATGCCCACTTAGATCCTCCTCTGACATCCTTCTCTGAATACCACCCCTCATGAAATCAAGGGGGAAAGAGCTAGGAGGGGGACATTTTCTGCAGTAGCACCCAGACTCCAGAATTTGCTCCTCAGGGACATATAGCAGGTGTCAACTTTGCTTTCTTTTTAGATGCCATGTAAAAAGCTTTTTGTTTAAATAAGCTTTTGGTTAATTTAATTTATATTTTGTTGTTGATTATTTATTTAATTTTGGTTGCTAATTTATTGGTTTATTTGGTCATGGTGTATATGGTTTTATATACTTTTATTATGTGCGATGGTTTAATAATTTACTATATTTATTGTTTTTATCTGTTTTAGTGATTGTATTTATATGCTGCTTTCAGCATTTGTAAGCTGCCCATAAAACCCCCGGGTTATGGGGCAGTATAGAAGTGGAATGCAATAAATAAACAAACAGTGTGGCGATGGTCAGCTGAAAAGTCCCCTCTTCCACCTGCTACACTCATTTGCATGCAAGCATACAGGACATATACCTGACAGAAGAAGGGCCATCTTCTGTGAAGCAGCTACGCCATGTGCCCAACCACTCCCCTGTTGTTTTGTCAAAAGCCTGGATTCTCCAGTTGGCTCTGTCTGCAACCCAGACCTATAAAGGCATACGGAGAACCTGTTGTAAGACCATTAAAATAACAGTTCTCACAGATCTGCATATGCACCAAAAGACTTAATAACATCAAATAGGAAACGAAATGTTCTAATCCTGGCATGATATATCACATATGATTTGTGAACTCCATTACAGGTAAGAATGGATTCTTTTTTTAATTTATCAGTCAGGAACATGCAGCCTTTCTAGTCACCCAGGCATTCTGAACCTTGTCAGCAATGTGAGGATATTAAGAATGCTTTCTGCTGATTGTAAAGTATTGCTGTGTTTTTATGTTGGAATTTAGATCATGACAGATGGTATATAAATATAGATTACATGCATTCATACCTATTCCCTGCTCAGCACTTCATTTCCATATACCTGTGTGGCACTTCTACCTTCTAAAACTCAGTAGGCTGAAGACTGAACTGCTTAATCTTTTCCCCAAACCTTCCTCCTCCTGATTACTCTTGGCCCCAGTAGGCATCTTCTCTGTCCGCCATGTTAAGCAGCCCCAACATTATCTTTGACCCTTCTTTTCCTTGGCTCCCCAGCTTCAACCTATCACCAAATTAGATTACTTCTTCTTACTCTGATGTTGCTTCTCCTTAGACATATACAGGGAAACCCTTTCCTCCCCTTCTCTATCCAGTCCAAACTCCATGGTTTCACCTCTAAAGAAGGGATAAGAAACAATAGAGGACTCCAGGAACTACTTAGTGCCACCCCCGACCTGTAACTTCACCCCAGCTGAATCCCTGCTGTCAAAATTTAGCAGAGTGGAGATGGCAAATCAAGAAACAAAACAGCTTGTCACTGAACTTCAGCAGCAAACTGCTCTGGAGGCTTAAAAGAGATGCTGAATCTGTCTCTTTTAAGCCTCTGCAAGGGCCTGCTGATGAAATTTGGCAGCCAACAAGCACTTTTCGGGCTGGTGGCACAGCAGCAGCTGCATCAGACTGTTGCCCGCTCCTGTTCTAAAGTTTTCCACAGACTTGCCCAATTATCTTGGCTTTCCATCATCTTTGCTGCTCCAGCTTTACAGCACTGCCTCTGTTGGGGTATGCATAATATCTGAATGCTGCCTTCAGCCCATTCCATATGCATAGACTGCTCAGCAGGCCCATTTCCTGTGGGCTATTTTGTAAACCAGAATAGGAATGGAGGCAGCCAGAATAATTATTTAACATGTAATTGCTAATTTCTTTCTGTGTTTCAAACATTTTGCTGAAAAGGGGAAATAAGAAGTGGCATGAAACCGCTACTGCTACTTTACCCGTCCAACAGAATCCACTGTTACGCTGTGTGGAATCCTAAACTGCGTAGGGGCAGAACCATTTTCACCACGTAGCCATAAAGTCTTTAAATCTGTGGGCAGAAAGCAGCTGGTGAAACATCATGCATTCCCCTGCTTTTGTAATAAAATAGCAATATTAAAACTGGCTAAAAGTATTGCATTCATGTTTATACCAATTACAAAGCCAGGGTCAGTTTAACATCCCAAAATCTGCAAGACATCTGTTAGTGGAAGATAATTTACTCTTTGTCTCAATCCTGCCATTCAAAGAAAGCAAATACTATGTTATGTTGTACTTATTTTATTACAGATCAGCTACTAGGTCACAACAAAATTGTGAAGACAGTCTAACATTAGGAAAACAAGCAATGCATACTTATACTATGATTCCTTTAAAAACAATACCAAGCAATATTCCACCCATAAGCATTTAGCCACACAGTGAAATCTAGCTTTCTATCGAGTAATCACCCCTGCAGCATGTTGGCATAAGTAGCACCCTAGAATTTTAGTCAGTATTCTAATCATTACTGGAAAATCCATTTTACTTCTTCAAGATGTGGAGCTTACAGTCTACTGTTCCATACAGAAGATCCTGTGTGAATGCTATAAAATTTACTATGACCAGTTAACTTATTAGTAATCCTGCACCAATAGTTCTGCTCATATTTAGAAGATTACACCTGAAATTAAAAGATGAGGCTGGCAGACAGTCTAAAGCCACATCTACATGCTCACAAGAAGGCTTGGATTTATGTGAACATGTAAAAAGGGACTTTCCCTGTTTAGGTCCAACTAGCCTTGATTAATAGATTTATGGATTTGGCACTTAGTAGCCAAAGTATCTAATACACTGGGCAATAAACAGCAGCAACAGATTTAGAAGCAAGAATGACAACTGATCAATAAGAGGCTGGATGGTATGAATAGTGCAAACTTATACACTATGGACGTATACACTATGTGGAAGTAAGCTCTACTGTAAGAGTTGGATTTTTCAGTAATGGTGGCTGCCCCTTTCTGCCTGATCCCCATGAATGGAGTGGGTGAACATATTCTAAATTTTGTCAAAATAAAGGCTACTCACTAAAGATTATGTGGCTTCCCTGCCCCCTTTTAAATGCTCTCCTACTCTTTAAAGACCTGGATTCTACTGTGGCTCAAAACACTACTCAAAACAGACGTCTTCTTATAGGTATGCTTGAAGTGCAAACCTAAATGGAAGTGAGAAGAGCCCTGAAGAAATGCTGAAATGACAGACAAGTAAGTGAAATGCACCAGGATGATGGCTGCAGCTGACTGTGTCAGTCAGAAGCCACAAGGCCCATGCCAGTGGGCTCTCAATCACGAAGACAGCTACTTACAAACCCAAGCCACTTTGCAGGTGTCACTTTGCTTACCTGGCGTCAATTTGATTAGGCGGTTGTTCAGCCCTCCATCTCCATCCACAATATAGATGTCTCCCATAGGCTCAACAAAAAGGTCTGCTGGCTGGTCAAACTGCAGGGGGTTTGTACCAGATCCTGCTTTACCTGGAGTACCTATGATTCGCAGAAGCTGGCCTGCAGGGCTGTACTGTTTAACTGTGTGTCCATACTTGCCTAGATTTAAAAAGAGGCCATTTTCTCAATATGACATTTTCTCTGGGAAGACTGTCATTTAAGGAAGAGTAAGAACTGGGCACAACAGGACACTGACAGGGGACAGTTCTCCAATGGTACTTCATCTCTCTCTTTTTAGTTCCTATTCCTCATCCTACTGCAATCCCTCAACCAGTAGTTCTCTGTCTTCTAAAATCAACTGATTTCGTAAAAATGGTAGCTTTTGGGATGCTGGCTGTGAAGAAATGCCATACATATACAGGCATTCCCCAAGCTACAAATACCTGAGTTACAAACAACCCGTAGTTACGAACATCATCCTCATCACAGAGAGGGGAAGGAGGGAGGCCTCCAAGGCAGGCCTTCCTGCCCTGCCCACCCAGGGAGGGAAATCTCTCTGGCATTTCCTTGCTGTGAAGAGGATGTGAGAAACAGAGCAAGAATAGTATCTTTTTAAAAACAGAAAAAAACCCTAGCAAACGCACACAGTAAAACACCATTTGCTACTAAGCATACAGGCACGTATCCTACTGAAGGAAGGAACAGAAACTGGAATGAGCTTGGAAGAAGGGTTGTTCTTCCTATCTCATCCTCCCACAAGTTTTGGGAGATAAATGGTCATCAAGCGAGATGGCTACAAGGCCAAACCGGCCTATTGAACTCTTAGGAAATAGTGCGCACGCTTAATAGGCTTATGAATAGTAACTGACACACCTCTCATAGGTAATAGGCTCATTAGCATGAACATGGGATGTATGAGTGGGAGGGGGGATCATATCGAGGAGGAGTATGATGTAGGCAGATGGAGAAGATTGTGACTTCTTAGTAACCAGCCAATGACAAAGCAGGGGTAGTGCTGAGCATCGGGGAAAGAAATGTATATAATCTCATGTATGCTTTGTGTAAATTGCTCTTTGTTCCTCAGGCAACTGAGACTCTGAACCAGCATTTGCAAACGCTTCAATAAAGCTGCTTGTGCCTGCCCAGTTCTTGTCTCACAGAGTTTTGAATCTTGCAAGGAGGCACTGGTGAGTTTGGGTGATGGGGGCCTAGAGGGATTTGTGGTTTTTCAGGGGTCTGTGTCCCTGACTGCCCTGAATGTGGAGGGCCAAATACACCTGATCCAATTTACAAATTCAACTGAAAGAAGAAATTCCATTTTCTCAGGAACAAAATTACAGACCCTGGAACTGCCTGTAATTTTTCCCTCCTCTAAATACTCAGTCTGGTCTCTGAGAGTCTCCAATGTATTTGTGCAGGCCTGAAACCTCATGCCATTGCTGTGCTGAAAGCCTGTCTTTGCAGTAGTTGCTTGGCGAAGTTCAGAAGTGGGAGAGACAGAAGTCTTTGTGAATACTTGTAGATGGGGCCTAGAGGAGGCAACTTCAGTTTTGATTATCTGGGGATTCAACTTAGACAGAAAATAGCAGATAGGAAATAATCATTTCCATATAACCTGAAGTGCCTTACCTTGCCTAATCTTGGAAGCTAAGCAAAGTTGGGCCTGGTTAGACTCTGGATAGGGGACTTGAGTGTGTGATTCTATGATTATTGATGTAAACCACCCAGAGAGCTTTCGCTATGTGTGGTATATAATAATAATAATTAGGGGCTAAGGCAGTCTTTTGGTAGTCAGGCAGACTGAACGTCTGCTGGTTGATGCTACAGAAGGACTAGATGAAAGCTGAGGAGAGAATGAATAAGGCCTGAATATTATTCCTTCTCTGTGGGGTAACCAGTGCCTGGCAGAGGTCCAAAGTAGGGAGCTGGTGGCTGTGTTATGCCAGGCTGCCCTAAGATCTTGGCAAGAGAAGGTTATACAAGCAGGTGGCAGGGAGCAAAACAAACTATACAGGCATTCAGGAATACAAGAAGAAGGGCTTGGGCAATCAGAGGAAGACTGCACCCAGGAGCTGGACCTGGTTCTCAGTGCATTTGGCTGGACTGCATTTTTAGGGAATTTGGTGTGAGGTTAAAGAAGCATTAAGAGGCTGGACTGTTTTTGCAACAGCATATTTTGAGTCCTTAAGAAATTCCTGCAAACATTCTTCTGAAATCCCAGAAGTAAACATTAGTACTCCCCTAGATACAAAGTATCTAATAAAGGAGTGAATAGTTCTTCCCATCTCTAAAGTGGTGCTCATCTCTTGCCTAAGACTTAGTATTCTAAGGAAATTGGTGGCAAAGGGAAAAATTCAGCTTGTGTAACACTGACTTGCAGCGGAAGAGAGTCTTTTAGGCCCTGAAATAGAAGCATTTGCTAAGTCACCCCAAAACTGGGCTTGCCTAGTGAAGCAGTTTCCCTACAAATGGTGGTAGCACTGCAGAGAAAATCCCCCATAGAAGGCCACAGAAGCTGGGTCAGTTTCTGTCTGAGTTAAAAGTTTTTTTTTCAATTAAGACTTATGGGTTGCTTCTTAAAATAAGAATACTGTAGGTGATTTGTCTAAGCATGCATAGGGCTGCACCCTGGGAAGCTCAGTTGGATATCACCACAGGAGCCTTCAAGAGGAACCTGCTGGTGGTGGCGGTTACTCTCACCAGATGGTAAAGTGGCTATTTCAGTTAGCCTTGGAAAGAGGAGACTTGGTTAAAGCCCTGAGCCTGGTCTGTGCACAAGGAACCACCTAGGGGAATTTCCATGCGGGACTTGTTGTGGGCCCCCATGTTGAATGCTCAGGCATGGTGGGAAGGTGCCATGGCTTCTCATTTCAGGGGGTAGTTTGCTAAATACTCCAGCAACCCACCCTTGCTAGGTTCATTCCAGCAACCCACCCTTGCTAGGTAACAAGACGACACCAGGAAGGGCTGGGATTGCCATCCTGGCATCTGTGCGTGGCTAACAAGCCATCATGGACTGCAAGGATCATGTGCAGCAGGTCCATCAATGTCCTTGGTGTGAGAACTTGGGTAGGAAGAAAGATGCCAAACCAATTTGTTGGGTTTTTGAGAATTCCCTGATGGTGTTGCTTTTCTATGTTGTGATCTTAATAGCAATAGTTGATTTAAAAAATGTTGAAATATAGGTATTATATCTGACTATCTATCTATCTTAATATTTACATACCACCCCATTGCCATAGGCTCTGTGCAGTTTACAAGAAATTATATAATGAAATATGTTATCTATATATTTGTATATGCTACCCTGCATATATTGTACATCACGTTTGCTTTTGTGGAAAGACATAATCTAAAATTAGAGATGGGCAGCTTGCAACACTCCAGATGTTTGGGCCTACATCTCTCACACTTGGCTATGCTGGCAATGGCTCATGGGAGCCATAAGTGAAAATATCTGAGGGGCTGCAACTTGACAGGCATTGATCTGAATTAAATCTAAAACAGCAAAGATACACTGCATTTTCCACCATTCTACATACCAGTTCCAACATCTGTGATCCACACTGAACTCATACTGGGTATGTTCAATGCAAAGATGCCATGGGGCATTTCAATGGTAGTAATATTCCATGCTTGTAAGAAATAGCCATCCTCGCCATACACCATGACCTTTGGCACATTATCATCACCTCTCTGAAGGTATGTAAACATAAAAGAAAACCAGTCAGGAAAATCACAGAGAGAATTCCTCAGCATTTTTCATTACAGATCCTTACAGTATACACTTCAAAACAATCCCTATGATCTTGACCAAGCACTGTTATTCCCAATTAAAAGACAAGGGAAAAAGAAGTACAGTGTTTAGTTACACTAATTAGAAGTTTCTTTCCATTGTGTTATGACGATATGTAATAAGTGGCTGGTAGCCCCAGGGAGATGCTTAAAAGCCTGTTTTGGCCAAAAGGTGGGACAAAAATAAATAGTTTTTGAATTATTAGTCTATCAATATGATGGATAAAGGTCCTAGAACTGCTTTGCTTGAATCATGTTGACAGAGATAGGCAGATGCTTTTCAAAAACCCACAAGGACGTTAGCTGATTATCTGGGTGCAACAAACCCAGATCGCTGATTCAGATCATGCAAAGTACATATTTCTAATTAATTTTACCCAGCTATGTAAAAAGATAAGCATTATCCTCATTAACAGTAAGCCAGGATAAATCAAGAATCTGTACAACTATCTATTTAACATTGCCAATCTACGAATAATGGCTAATCCTTCTTACCATTCCACAAGAAGTTTCATTTTCCTTAAAACAATGGGATTCTCATCTGTACAGAAAATGCACTCACCCTGGAAGGAAGGCATGCAAATATCTGCTTCCCACAAGTATGGTATATTCTCCTCAACATAGGAACACCTATTTCCTGCCTTATACATTCTGCATTTAGACATGTGAGCCTGAACCAAGTATTCTGTCTTAGATTTACCAGAGTAGTTGCTATAGAAGTGGAAACTCTTAACCAGAGCTATAGATTTGCTCCCTCTACCAGTTAGGACCAAAAAATGATGTATGTTCTTACCTGTCCCACATAAACTAATCCATGGATGTCATCAACAGCCACACAAAATGTTTGATCAGTTATTTGTTCTGGAAATTTAGGCCAATTTACATCAAGCTTGTACAGTGGTTTCTCTATTCTCCAGACAGCATAGAAAGTCAATTGGTTCAATACCTTTAAAATACATTATTTTTTAATGGACCATTGTGAAAAAGCAACATATATATCTGTTACATTTTTATCTCTAAGGAGAGTCTTCTACAGATGTGTGGCTCAACAGCTCACATCACCCTCAGTCAGCATGGCCACCACCACTGAGAAGGCCCTGCTTCTGGTCATGATCCGCCTCACCTATAAAGTGAAGGTGGTGGTGCAGGGGGAGAGATGGCCCATGAAGAGGAACTCAGTATCCTTGAAAGGTTAACATGTATTTATTATATTTCTATACCACCCAATATCTGAAGATCTCTAGGTGGTTCACAACTATGAAACACAGTATGAAATGTTAACATTAAAAACTTAGTAAGTATTTAAACAGCTAAAAACAATTTCAATAAAATACTGTGCTTATTAAAGACAGCTGACAAATGTGACATCACGCGCCATTAAATGCCTGGGGGTAGATGGCATCAGACCAGCTACAGATCACTCTACAGTGTCCTTAGGGCCAGCATGTAATTGGTCCTGCAAAACTCCACTGGGCATCATACAAGAGGATTCAGTAGCAGCAGCAAGATATTAGCAATGCCCTTGCGTGTCCCCAAAGCAATTCCCCCCAAAGAGGTGACCTCCTCTTTGTACCTTTCATGGATTACCACCCTGCTTCTGCTCCAAAGACTATGAGCATTTTGGCCCAAAAGCAGGCCAGTAGCAATGCCACTGTTTTACCACTCACAAAAATTACTCTGTGTACAGACCTTGTAACTAATATATAACTGCAGCTTTCTGCATCAACTGAAGCTTCCTAACAGTTTTCAAAAGCAGGTCTAATACAAACTGCTACCGTAATCTAAATAGGTTAAAGGACAAGACTCAAGATGTAGGAATAAATGGATAGTTCTTACAGTAAAACAAGGTAAGCAATGTGATACTCCTACATTGGAACTGGTACTTTTTACGTGATCAGGAGTTAGAGATGAGCAGAGTGACAGCCATATTTATTCAATGTGGTAAACACAAAAAGGATTGCAAAAAGTTCCAAAAGTTCCAAAAACAAAACAAAACAGACAATGACAATGACAACCAAAAGACAACTTCGGTTCAGTTTAAGTATAAAACAGTGCTAACACTCCTGCCCACATATAATGGTGGGGGCTGAGCTCACAGTGACTAACAGAGAATAATATTGGGTAGCTCAAAGCTAGTGTGCCGCAGCTATGAAAAAAAGCAGATTCCAGACTAAGGATCATTGGGAAAGGAAACAAAAATAAAACTGCCAATATTGTAATATCTTTGTACAAATCTACCATGTCATTATAATTTGTACACTGCATGCATTCATCTCCAGTCACTGTACCTCAAAAAAAATCTATAGAGCTTGAAAAGCAGAAAAGTGCAAGCAAAATTATCAGTGATGGAACAACTCTCCAGGAAGAAAAGACAGAATGTTTAGGCCTTTTGGTTAAGTAAGTTGTGGACATGGTAAAAGAGTTGGATAAAATTATGCATGGTGTGGAGAGTGCAGAGAAAGAAAAGTTTTTTCGCTCTTTTAATACTAAAACCCAACATCACCAATGAAATTGAATAATGGAAGATTCAGGACAGACAAGAAGGAAGCACTTTCTCCACACAGCACATTGTAAAAATCCGAAATGAGCTACCCCAAGGAGTAGTGATGGCCACCAACTCTGATGGCTTTAAGGGCTGATTAGAAAAACACATGGCCATGAGGCTATCATGGGCTACCTGCATCCAAAGCAGCAAGCATCTGAACAACAGCAGGAACAGGCTATTACAGTCCTCATGTCCTGTTGTGATCTTCCATCTGCATCTGATTGGTCACTGTGGGAAATAGGACACTTTTGCCCTGACCGAGCAGGGCTCTTTCTCATGAGCATGGATAACTGTGGCTAGGCTACCTCTGCCAGGGAGGGATCCTTCATGGATCCCTCACATGAGCAAAAGGTGTTGAGCTATGTTTCTGGCCATTTGGATCTCAAAAAATCAGACAGGATCTGGTAACACCCTCAAATAGCAAACCTGATCTTGAATCAGGAGCACCACCCAATGCCCTGGTCAGACAAACTACATCTGCACTACCTCCATCCTGTCTGGATTGATTTTTAGTTCCTTGGCCCTCATGCAATCCATTACTGACTTCAGTCACAGGTTCAGCACACTTGCACAGTTTCAGCTGAATCTTATGAAAAAGAGAACCTGAACTGAATGTCACCAATATACTGATGTACTCCAAATTCCCAGTTGATCTTACTTGACACTGGTGATGAAATAGTAGGGAGGGCAAAACAGAAAACTGTGCCAAGGGGCCAAGCAGCAGAACCACTGAAGCATCAAGTCCCACCCCAGATCCAGCAGAGCACCATAACTGATCATATCAGCAGCCTCCCTGTTTTCCTATCCCTTATCTCCTCTTTTCAAGTTAGATTGTAAACCCGAGGATAAGAACTGTCTTGGCACCTTCAAGTCACACTGGGAGTTTCTTGGGATAAATGGTGGGCTGTAAATGCTTTTCATAAATAAACCAAATTGCCAGGGTTGTATGCTAGATGGAGGATCCAGGTTCTAGTCCACATTCAGCTGTGAAACTCATTGGGTGTCTCTGAGCCAGACATTCACTCTCAGCCTAACCCACCTCATAGGATTGTTGTGCGGATAAAACAGAGGATTATATAAGCCAGCTGGATTCACTGTAGGAAAAGCCAAGATACAACTATAATTTCTTCCCCCCACCACCTTTTTAAAGTGGTGGAATAAAGACATCACAGTTCTGGAGACTGGAAAAGTGAAAACACATTCCTTCATTTATTTGTTATATTTATATTCTGCCTTTTTTTCCTTTCAAGAAACTCAAGGCAGCTCACATGATTCTCCTCTTCTTCTTGATCTTATTCCCTCAACAACCCTGTGAGGTAGGTTGGGCTGAGCATCTGTGACTGGCCCAGTCACTCAGTGTAAAGTCATCCCTTTGTCTCCTTCTCAAGCATCCCTCTAAGTTGTTGTTAGTCGCGAAGTCGTGTCCGACCCATTGCGACCCCATGGACAACATTCCTCCAGGCCTTCCTGTCCTTCACCATCCCCCGGAGTCCACTTAAGCTCACACCAACTGCTTCAGTGACTCCATCTAGCCACCTCATCCTCTGCTGTCCCCTTCTTCTTTTGCCATTTATTGTTCCCAGCATTAGGCTCTTCTCCAGGGAGTCCTTCCTTCTCATTAGGTGGCCAAAGTATTTGAGTTTCATCTTCAGCATCTGGCCTTCTAAAGAGCAGTCAGGGTTGATCTCCTCTAGGACTGACCGGTTTGATTGCCTTGCGGTCCAAGGGACTCGCAGGAGACTCCTCCAGCACCACAACTCAAAGGCCTCAATCCTTTGGCGCTCAGCCTTCCTTATGGTCCAGCTTTCACAGCCATACATTGCAACTGGGAAAACCATAGTCTTGACTATACACACTTTTGTTGGCAGAGTGATGTCTTTGCTTTTTAGTATGCTGTCTAGATTTGCCATGGGAGCTTTTAAATTGGCACATCTATCCACCATCTCTTTAATTTATACCTTTCAGGATGCTCATTATATTACAGACATGAAAAGCTAAATCCTGCAGATCATCAAGTCCATGTGCCCCTGCTCTGGTTCAGGGGAGATCTGAGACCTGTCTGGGGCTTGGGTAGCTGAATTTGATCTGATGCCCTTCTTTCTGAGTCCCTTTCTTTTTGTCCTTGCTTTTTTGTTTGTTTTGCTTCCGATTTAAGGTTTCTTTGGGGAGCGGGGGCGGCCAGACTTTCCAAAATTCCGTATCTCAAGAACTCATGCATACAATCCGCTTGACTACGGGTGACCATGAACCAGCCATTAACTTTCAGCCTAGCCTTCCTCACAGGGCTGCTGGGAGCACAACGGATGCGCGCCGCACCGAGCTTCCTGGAGAAGGACTCAGGCGCAAAGTACAGTAAAATAAGCATTGTTTAAAACGCGTATGGGAACCACTTTGAAGTCTGAACATTCCAAAGCGCTACATAAAGAAGCAAAGAAGCACCGATTGTTGCTACGCTTGCCAACTCACCTGCAACTCAGGCCCTACCCTATACAGAGCGATTAACAGCAAGAGCGAAGCAGTTCCTCCAAGGCCCGCTACCAAGCGGAGCCGGAGACATCGGCCGACCCCCATCAACGCAGCACACGGACCCGCTCTCGGGAACGGGCACTGCACACCCCTCACTCAGGTGAAGTGCGCATGCTCAGCGACAGAAGGTTAGCGTAAAGCTTCCTGGGAGATCGAGTTCTTTCCAACTTCCAAGGCAGGCCGGAGTGGGTTCGGGGACTACAATTCCTAGGAAGCCATTGACGCCTCTATCGGAAGGTAAGAGAAAGCCTTTGAGCAGGGCCCTGCGACTTTGGCAACTTCTGAGGTCTGCTTACTCCTGTCTTGGGCCCAGCGGAGACAAAGGAAGGATTAGAAGCGAAGTGGGAAGGTAGGTGTAGGGACAGATCTTTCTGGGTTCTTCTTTTAACATCCGTGTTCACACTACACCAGTTGCAGTTAAAATAAAGGGAGGGTGTTAGTTCTGTATGAGTATTCTCGGCCACCAGCTTCCCCACTTTTGGTTTCATATTTGTTATTAGCAGCTAATTACCAATACATAGAGTTGCGCCCTAGTTAGCGTTAGAAAGTTGATTCCTTACAATGTTGGAAAGCCTGGTTCTCGTTATATTATACTGCAGTAAAGAGAAAATGACTGGGTAAAAGGTAAGATGTGGTTAGTTAAGCGTGATTTATTTAAATAATAGAAGAAAAAGCCCTTATTTATGTGTGCACAAGTACAGGAGCTATTGGGTTTTAGGAAAGGAGGTGCTGGCAACACACTTCATGCAAAATTCTTTGAAAAAGTGCAATATTCTGTAAAGTTTGTTTGTCTGGATAATTTAGGGGCAAAGGGTATTCTTGGACTAGAGTGTCATGTGACAGTAAGAGCCCTAAATTGTGTTAGTTTAACACATTTGCTACTAAAGATGAGTTTCCAAACAGGTTTCCCTTATACAAAAATCAAATGAATTGACAGCAGCGATTGTTATTCAAAGATACTTAAGCCATGTAGCAGATTGTGTGCATACTTGACACCTACCTAACAATCGTAGAAATCATGCTATTGGATTTAATAGTGCTGGTCACCTGTCAAACTAAGGGGCAGATCTGTGCATGTTTATACAGACGAAAATCATGATTCCCTGTGTTCTCCAGAGAAGTAGAAGTTGACTGAGTTGAGAATGCTGGGCATGATAGGACTTTTGGCTGTCTAAATATTATTACAAGATTGTTCTTCTACTCCATTTTATTGTCCAAGCAACAGCCCTTTGCACTTTTCTGGCAAAGTGGGAACTAGAACCCAGATCTTCCAACACCTAACACTCTAACCACTGTGCTACACTGGTTCTCATAGGATCTTGCCGTTTCAGTGTCAGTCATGTTATCCTGGTTCTGCATCCCATTTCTGTTCAAGAGAGCAACATGTGCATTAGAATTTTTCCACCCAATCTCTAATGTATGCATCTACAGGATTGGGGAAACAAATATCTTGCTATCAGCAGATAGGGAGAGCGCAAGTGAGCATATGCATGCACTTACTGTAAAAAAAAAAAATTCTGTTGTGATGCAACAAGACAGGAGAGTTTTTAAAGGAGGAAAAGTCTTTCCCACAACTTATAAAACAGCTTTCCAATTAACCATGGACTCTGTGGTAGTTGTATACCAAGACCATAGAAACAATGATCCTGGGTTCAGACAATACAACAAGCCATGATGGTTCAGAAAAGCCATAGAACAAACTATTGTTTCTTCTTATGGTTTCTAAAGACCAAACTTACCATTGTGAAATATCATAATTAGGTTCCCTTCCCTAAATGTGATGCTCTAGCAGGGCCAAGAAATCATAGAGAAATGCAAGAATGTAGCTATAGGAGAATGTCTGGACTGTTTGAATGTTGGTTTTCTGCAATTTGTGCTCAGTGCTAAGTGAGCACAAATGAACATTTGACATTGTTCACTACCTTATCTTCCACATCTCTCTCTCTCTACTTTCATACACTCGTGAACCTACAGCCTCTTAGCTGACGTCACTTTAGGCCAGTTTGCATGATCAAAGAGCCCACTGTAGATTGTTTAAGCCATTGGTGAACTGTGGTACATGTCTGTCACCATTTTGCATTTTCAGCCCTTGATTGTGGGTTGTCGTATTGTACATTTAAGTATGCATGCAGTACCTTCTCTTTCTTAATGGGGAATGAAAATGTAGTAGCATTTCTGAAAGCATATCCAGTACTAGTCATATTGCATTTCTCAGAGGGTTGTATCTAGCACTAGTCCTATTTAGAAATGGGACTTAAGTTAGACTGACTCTTACCCATCCTATGCTAGATGTAGATCCTGAATCGAATTGGAAGCAGGAATGCCTTCTTTATTTTCTTTAAAATCTTTCTGCCCCCATCCCAGGTGTCACATCATCCCACCCTTTTGCACAGCAGCCAGATTGTGTGCTGCTCTTTAGAACTATGAAGATAAAACGGTCACACTTAGCCAGACTTTTGCAAAGTCCAGTCCAAGTGAAGTTTGAGGAGGTGGAGATGCAGCCAGTGTACCAAGCTGGATGGGAGGGATCTGTAGGACCATTCCAGATGTTGGCTACAATCTGAGGCAGGGGAAATTGATGAGATTCCTCCCTGTGCAATCTAAAGCTGCCCCCAGCAGTTGAAGCTGCGGCCTAAGCAAACACAGTGGAGGAAGCAAGCCTAATTAAAGATACTGAACTAAAGATACTGCTGCAAGCACAGGACAACTGGTGATCATAAATTGCTACATAGCTCATAAACTACCAGTATACACACTATCCCTTCTTTCTTTTTTTCTTCCACATGAAAGTAATGTTTATTTTTGTTTTTTCAGTGATCCTCTTTATCAGGCAAGATCATGGCTCTGAAGGAAGTTTCTAGCAATAAATGCTTTGATGGGTTTCAAAAGGTGTTTGAGCATGACAGGTAAATGTTTTATTTATTGAAAGGATTTTGTGTTGCCCTTTGAACCTATTTCAGGGTGGAACCTGAAACTTTAGGAGCCTGAGAGAATAAGGAAGTATTTGCTTGGTGTCAAGGGAATGTGTTAGCAGGTGAGTCTCCCTGGAAGGAGAATTCTATATGCAAGCAGCAATAAAAACAGTGAAGTAGATCCAGATGAGTTTGTTCCACACCTGGTTTCCATTAAAATTAATGAGACTTAACTTCATGATTGTGTTCCATAATTAATGTATGCATGTATTACATTTTTATTCCTCTAAGCTCTCTGGGAGGTTCACAAACTTAAAACTCTGCAAATGCAGCATAATAAAACACTGTAAAAGTTTAAATTTTTAAACATTGAAAGCTTTGAAAAGAGTAAAAACCAGAAGCTGGGAAAGATCTGAAAACATAAGAGTGCACATTTCAACACAAACTGAAGCCTGGGTAAATGAAAAGGTCTTCCCTTGCAGAGCTGGCTGAGTGACTTTGGGCCAGTCACAGATTCTCAGCCCAACCTACCTCACAGGGCTGTTGTTGGAATTAGATTAAGAGCAGGTGGAGGAGAATGAAGTAAGCTGATTGAAATTCTTAAGACAGGATATAAAATCAGAGAGAGAGAGAGAGAGAGAGAGAGAGAGAGAGATAACAAAAGGAGCACAGGATGCCAGCTGTGGGTTTCTAGGAGGGCTTCCCAAAATCAGCTACAGTAGGAATGTTCCTTGCAGCAATTTTTGAGGACATTCAGGCTTTTTGTGGTATGAGAGGAGGTTGCTGAAACAGCATCCATCTGTTCCTTAACAATAAACATGTACCTTGTTACACTATCTTGTCCTAGTCTACTACTTTTGCAATACAGATTTTATCATTCCAAATGTCTGTTGATTTATAGTGCCACTGTAGTCATTTGCTGACTGCTCAGATTCTTTGCTCGGCCTCTCGTAGGTCTTCTGCCTGACAGCCAGATGCCCTGTTCAGCCTTCTCTGATAATCCTTTCCCAACATCTGGCAATTCCCAGCTCCAGGCTATGACTGCTCATGCTTGAGTTGTTCTTACCAAGCCCACTAGTCAATGAATTAATTTCATGAAGAAACAATTCACATAAGGCATCTGGCTCAGGTATTAACCTTCATCAGCTCCAATTTGAGCTTTTATGTTACCCTGTGCTAATTGTCTTTTTACAGTGTTGAGCTGAAGTGCAAAATGAAGTTTGGAATTTACTTGCCACCAAAGGTAGAAACTGAGAAATGCCCTGTATTGTACTGGCTCTCAGGTAAGTGTTTGGATGTTATCTTTCAAAGGGATGTCATCAGAGGTGGTTAGAATTAATTCAAGTATCATGTTAGTACGATTGAAATTTGTAAATGCATTGCAAAATGTGACTTTGGTTTAAAGTGCTTTTTTGATTTATCTAGACAAGTGTGTGAATCAGTAATGAAGACTCCTTGCTTATATATTACCAGCTCAGCCTTGATAAAGGTTTGTCTGTAAGCAGATCTGGTAGTTTTCAGCGCTCCTAGCAATGCAGAATATCGTTAGGCATGACAGAACTTGACATCCTAAGAGGTACCGCTTTTAAAATAAGCAAATTTCTGGCCATTTCGGTTGTAGAAACGATTTTTGAAATGCAGACATTTACTGGGTTCTCATTTTTTGACAAGCAATTGTATTTGTGTTTTAACACTGTGGACTTGAGTCCCGAACCAGCCATAGTATATCTTCATGGTTTGTTCTGGGCCAGAAAGCATAACAAGAAGTAGTGGCCCTTTGTATGATGTCTGCTTACTGCAATTGCCTGTCATGATGTCTGGACTTGGGAGCTCCTTTTTCCATTCAGGGTGAAAGAACACCAGGAGTTCTGAGGAAAGAGTGGCAACAGAAGGGACCAGTCCAGGCATCCAATCTCTACTATCCATGGCTTCCTAGCAACAAACACACATATCATTGCTTGCTTTGTTCCTATTGGCTGAGTCCTGTGTCCAGCACACTGTTTGCTTTCAGAAACAGGGGGAAAGCAAGCAAATGCATGGAGAAGAAAGAGGAGCAATGCAGCAGAAGTGTTTATGTTAAAAATAAACCCTTTGGGGTCTGGTTTGGCTAGGAAGCTTTGAAGAGATGGAGGTATAATTAGCAGAGGAAAATGAGAGAACCTGTCTCAAAACCTCAGTGGACCAATTAGAAAAGGCAGCTGAGATCAATAGGAAACAACACAGTAATGAAGGGGATTTTGCTCATGGGGACTGCTGGGACACATGGTGAGAGTAGGAGGATGGGGAGGTGGAAAGTAGCAGAATCAGCCAGAGTTTATATTCAGTCAGGGAAAACATGGAAAGTTGCAACCAATCGTAGTACCCTTGCTTGTCATGATTTATGAGCCTGCCCATTGTCTATGAAAGGGTCCAGTATTTGGGAGATGCTGCATCTGTGCCCTGTGATACTGACCATTTTTGTGTGCCACTTTCTATCATTCTGTGGTAACTGTGCATCCCTGTCATTTATGTCTGATGTATACTACTCTTCTCTGAAAAACAGAAGAAACATGCATCTTTAACACTGCTGATTTCAGCAGTGGTTTTAATTTCATCTTAAAATGTGAAAAGAGTGTGTGTATTTCTTAGCAGTTCGACTCCACACAGCAGGGAAGCAATTCCCAGGTTGTTTAACCCGGGAATTGTTGGGATAAACTGCACACTCCTTATTTCCGCTTTTATTCAACAGCCTTGTTACCTGAAAACTCTGGATTTATGATTTAAACAATCCAGAATAATCCTAACTCATAGGTCCAGCATTGTTGATTAAAGGCAGAAATGTGGAGGCTGCATCTTGTGTGCTCCTTTCAGCCCTGCAATTTCTTGCATGGTGTGCCTATCTGGAATGTGACTGGCTATCTTACTGCAACATTCTGATGTCTTTTCAGGATTAACATGCACTGAACAGAACTTTATAACCAAAGCAGGCTTCCATCAAGCTGCAGCCGAACATGGCCTTGTTGTCGTTGCTCCAGATACCAGTCCACGTAAGCACGGTCCTAACGAGCATCGCCTGAACTGTGTGTGTGTCACTGTTTCTTTTGCTAGCAAACAAATCTCTCTGTACACAAATCTGGGAGGTTCGCTATTTTATTAGGGGTACATTGCTTCACTGGCAGCAGATCTGGAAATTGTGTATGCTTGCACTAGCCACAGAAGTTCGGTAACTAGAAGGCAGAGGTCAAGGAATTGGCAACCCCTGAGCTAAATTTGCTCCCCTGGAATAGTACCATCACTACCTACCACCCATCTCCACAGTTGTCAACCCTGGAGGTGGAATGTGTGTGGTTGAGTAGGCCCTCCAGCATCTCCATCTCTTTTGGAGCTGAGCCTTCCCAAGTTTGAATCTGACTAAAGGTGAAATCATAAGGCCCCACTACACTGACAGCCACTTATATCACCATATATTTGGGTTTCTCCAAGACAAGTGGTTTTAGGAGCAATCCTGTTGGACAAGAACCTAGTCAAATCTAGGATTCCAATGAAAAACATCTGGCTCCAACTCTTGGTATTCCCTGGTTAAATGTTTTCCCAGTTGAGCATTTTGGTGGTCCCAGCGGTACCTCAAGTGGGGGAGATCCAAGAACAGTATACAGATTTCCCTGTGAATGCAGCTCCTTACTAGGAAAACCCATTTGTGTGGTCTGTCTACCTTTTCCTACAGCATGCTAGGCCAGATAGCAGCGGTTGCAAGTACACCCTCTTTGAATTCCTTTCCATAAAGCCCTTCTGAGCATGTAGGGTTTTTTGCTTAGAATCTGAAACCCTGAACTTCCTGATTGTTGGGAGAACATTATGCCCAGAGAACCTGTTTGGAAAACACTCATTGCAGAAAAGAACACAGCTCCTGAGGGAAAAGGGTCACTGCCCATCTGTGTACTCTGGACAGCAATGATCATTGTAGACTTTCTTTCTATGTGTTTTTGTTGTTGTTGTTGTTAGTCGTGAAGTCATGTCCAACCCATTGTGACCCCATGGACAACATTCCTCCAGGCCTTCCCGTCTTCCACCATCCCCCGGAGTCCACCTAAGCTCACACCAACTGCTTCAGTGACTCCATCTAGCCACCTCATTCTCTGCCATCCCCTTCTTTTTTTACCGTCAATTGTTCCCAGCATTAGGCTCTTCTCCAGGGAGTCCTTCCTTCTCATTAGGTGGCCAAAGTATTTGAGTTTCATCTTCACTATCTGGCCTTCTAAAGAGCAGTCAGGGTTGATTTCCCCTAGGACTGACCGGTTTGATCACCTTGCGGGCCAAGGGACTCGCAGGAGTCTCCTCCAGCACCACAATTCAAAGGCTTCAATCCTTTGGTGCTCAGCCCTCCTTATGGTCCAGCTTTCACAGCCATACATTGCAACTGGGAAAACCATTGCCTTGACTATATGCACTTTTGTTGGCAGGGTGATGTCTCTGCTTTTTAGTATGCTGTCTAGATTTGCCATAGCTTTCCTCCCCAGGAGCAAGCGTCTTTTAATTTCTTGGCTGCAGTCCCCGTCTGCGGTGATGTTGGAGCCCAGGAAAATAAAATCTGTCACTACCTCCATTTCTTCCCCATCTATTTGCCATGAAGTGAGAGGACCGGATGCCATGATCTTAGTTTTCTTAATGTTAAGTTTCAAGCCAACTTTTGCGCTCTCCTCCTTCAGCTGCATCAAGAGGCTCTTTAGTTCCTCTTCACTTTCTGCCACAAGAGTGGTATTATCTGCATATCTGAGGTTGTTGATATTTCTCCCAGCAATCTTAATTCCAACTGGTGATTCATCTAGCTCCACCTTTCTCATGATGTGCATTACATATAAGTTAAATAGGCAGGGCGACAGTATACAGCCTTGCCGAACTCCTTTCTCTTTCTGTGTAGGTGGGTGCAATATTAAAGGAGAAGATGACAGCTGGGATTTTGGCACTGGGGCTGGCTTTTATGTAGATGCTACTGAGGAGCCATGGAAAATGAACTATCGCATGTATTCCTACATCAAGGATGAGGTGAGATAAAGTATTCTACATGCATACAGTTGGCTTAATCAAAATATAAAACATTATGTATGATACTCAACCCTGTGCAAATGTCCTTCTGGAAAGAGGATAAGAATTCTAACACTCCATCATGCCCATAAAGGCAGGATCTGTTTAGGTTTTCCAAACTTTTATCTCCAAAGGAACAAGACATCTGTATATTTGTCTTGGTCTGTCCTCCTCTTTTCTGCCATCTTCAGTCACTTCTGGGGATCAGATGTGCTCTCTGGGAAATTCTGTGATGTGATACTTCAGGGAAGGACAAGATGTAGCATGGTTGTCCCCATTCCTTGTGTGGTTGATGCCACTTTCTTTTTGCTGCTCTAGAAAATAAGCTTTTTCCAGAATACTACAGAGCACTGAAAAGGTCGAATTTAGCTTGGATACAAGCTAGCTTTGACCCTTCTGGGCTCTATTGTGTCTTTTAAGCCCCAGAAGGTAACATTTAGTTTGCAAACAAGCTAGATCTGACTTTTTAGGCACACCATCATGCTGTGCTTGCCATATTTTTCATGAAATTTTCAGAAGACTGCACCCTACAACTAAAGGAATTCTTGGGGGATCCCCTGGACCTTTTGGAGTTACCCACTTGTGCAGAACTCCATGGTTCCTTATAAACTCTCTCTTCACCTGAATTATTTGAGTCCTTCTTGCCACCAAGCAAGCCATGGTCTGAGGGTAGAAGACAGAGCCATCTTGCCATAACTAAGTAGGTCTCTGTCTGGTCACCCCTGAAATGAGAAATTGTCTATGAACCTTATCTTGTATTCCTACTTTATCCTGCATTCTGAGTATTCTGCCTTGGGTTCCATAATGGATGAAATACAGGTTACAAATGTACTCAGTAAATTAAAGCGTCTATTTGAGGCTACGTTATGGAGGAAAAGCAGTACTCTTTCTTCTTAAGCAGTCTCCCTTTGCATATTTGCAAGGGGCCTAACACTATGTTATGTTAAATATCTCCAAACAAAGGAGAAACCGACTAATTGACTGGATTCATTTGATACAACAACCTATGTTGGGTTGGTACCCATGATGGTTTGTTATATTGTGCGAACACAGAGCAGTGTCTGTGTTGTAGCTTGTTTGAGGGTAACAAGCCACCCTGCAACCCATAGCTTGTTTTAGGCATTGTTGTACCCATGATGGGTTGTCATGTTGTCTGAACCATGGCAAACACCATCATGGAAACTGGATAGTGACTTGCTTGATAAAAGTAGCAAAAACTCCTCACTGTGCTTACCAAGCATGCCATGGTACCTCCCCCCTCCCCCCCCCGTGTCATCTGCCCCACAAGTGCATTTGGGGGCGACTGGCACTGGCTAGTTTATTTTGGCTCACTGCAGCTTATTTGCACTTCAACCCTTTTCCCAGCTTTCACAATTCCTGTTCTGGCAGCCACTGCCAACCCTTTCAAAGTGTTTGAGTGGCACCTCAGAGGGGCTGTTGGCAGCTGCCTACACAGAGATCTCAAAAACTGGCTTTAGCAAACTCAAAAAAATCCCCCAAAAAACAGTGGGCGAGGGTTAAAGTGCAACCACAGTGAGGTGAGAACATCTCACACTTGCATTAGAGAGACAAACTAGTCCTGCTGTGGCGTAGTTGGGATACACCCAGGGGAACAAAAGGGGATGGATGGGGCCAACAAGCTACTGGCAGCCCGACCATGGAGCCAGGTGATCCATTGTGGCTTCTTGCCAGGATGGCTTGGCATGATGTGTGAATGCATCCACTGTTTGTCTGTTATAGAACAATGCTTACTTGGTGGGCAGCTCCATTTAGATCTAGATTTAGATATAGTCATTGATTAACAGAGATTTAGGGTAGTAAATCTGGTTTTCAGCCTATGTGGCTCAAAAAGTGAATATGCACATACCTATTCCATTTCCACTGATGTTTTTCAGTTGCCCAATTTGATAAATGCCAATTTTCCAGTCGACCCTGAAAGGATGTCTATTTCAGGCCATTCAATGGGGGGACATGGTGCTCTGATACTTGCTCTGAAGAATCCTGGAAAATACAAAGTAAGATTATGGAGCTTATATGTCAAATTAAATAAAGGAATTACCCAAGGATGCAAGAATAATAATAATGCAGGCATAGGAATGTTTCTGGAAAAAAATAAATGGATAGCTGCAAATCCTATTTTACTGGGATCAGTCTTGTTTAATTTGGTGGGATGTCAACTAGCATAGGATTGTAACAGTAACATCTTGAGTCAAGAATTGTGTTCTGAAACTTTACGGTGAATGTGCAATGAGAATTGAGAAAGCATTTTAAATTTTTCCAAATTATAAGAAAAGGGTAGTTGTTCAATAGAGATGTAGTAGACAAAGGGGTTGTATTTTATGTGTATGTCAACAAAAACAGAATATGATTGTTAAAGGTTGGTGTTTTGTTGATCACAAGGAAATTATCAAAGAAAGCATTTAAAGAGCCAATGTGATGCAGTAGATTAAGTACTGGACCTAAATATTGCTAAAATCTTCCTGGAAATGGATTGATGAACAGGTGCTGGATTAACTCATGGACCACCAGTTGCCTAAACCTGTAGTCTCTATGACACAAATCTGGGAAATGATCTTGATTTAAAAGAGGGCAGAAACAAGTTAAATGGAGATTATTTCTATTTTCCAGAAGCTGATACAAAAAGTCTTGCTAAGCATTGGATTAGGCTTCTGCAAATAGGAAACACTTCTTTTAACTGGAAACGTCAGTGTTATAAGTATGAAAACAGAAGAGCCATCTTATCTGCATTACATTCTATCCAAAATATATCTCAGAGTTAGGAATGCCTCAACTTCCATAGGTGTTGCACTATGATTGTGATATCTGGCAGTTTGCCACAGCACATATATTTGTTAATCTTAGTGTAAGAGACTAGAAATCTTATTCATCAGCAATTGTATTCTGAGATAAACATGTTTTTGAACAAAAAGAATCAATAGGCATATTTTTGTGTACCATGTTTGTGTACTGATGAACTTTCAGGCCCAAGACAAGATGGGCTTGCTCTAGCCTTCTCTATACTTGACAAAAGTGAGAAAAAAAACCTAATTTCTGTAAGATTACAAATGGTAGCTTGGAATTAATAGATACTGAAGGAAGTCTAGTTTAAATCTTAGCTGATGCACTTTCTCACTTTAATCTTTCATTTCTACATAGTCTGTTTCAGCATTTGCTCCAATCTGCAACCCAATTCAGTGCCCATGGGGGAAAAAGGCATTTAGTGGATACCTAGGACCTAATGTATCTGACTGGGAGGTAAGCATTGGAAATGTCAGCACTTTGTCACACAATAGAGAAATCCCATAGCTTTAACTGCATGGGGGCTGCCAATTGCTTCTGTCATTTTGAAGTCAGACAGGTAAGAAGTGTACATTTTGGACTGCAAAAGGATGAGCAGAGCTACACTTTCTTGGAATGCTTGGGTGTTACTGGTCCACCCAAGCCAGGTTAGTGGGAATGCTTTATCCATCTGTCTAGGAGCAGAGGAAGAGCTCCATGTGTAACCAACTTGAAAGCAACTTTTACTGTCCCTGCTGGTGGGAAGGACCTTGCTCCCTTCTTGGGGCTTCCCAAACATGCAGAAGGGAACTGCAAATACATGTGTTTCTTCTCTGTAGAGCAGTCATTAGAAATCTGTATTACGTTTTGAAACTGGTCCATATTAACTTCCAGTTGCAGATGAAGTTTCAAGCACAGACTGCATTGGTGCCAAGATGTTTCTATGGATCATTCTTTATCTGTTTTATTTCTATACTATTCTGCACTTTTGTTTTAAGAAGTGAATGAGTCTTTATCTGTTGCAGGCGTATGATGCCACGCACATTGCAAAGTCCTACCAAGGTTCCGCACTGGATATTCTGATTGATCAAGGCAAAGATGACCAGTTTCTTTCAGTAGGCCAGTTGCTTCCTGATAATTTCATTGCTGCCTGCACAAAGCGTAAAATCCCAGTGGTCTTCAGACTGCAGCAGGTAATGGTCAAAATGTGTCTGTGTCTGATGCTTAAATCTCAGTAGTATTTTTATTTTTATTTATTTATTAAAACATTTTTATGCCGCCCCATTCGCCGAAGCCTCGGGGCGGCTTACAACAAAAAATTAAAATAACATTTTAAAATATATACAATAAAATACAAATATATAATATAAAACATACACTATAAAACAAGCCGCCCTGGCCAAATAAAATTCAATAATATTAACATTTAAAATACTGCTT